GTTTGGCTAAGCCCAAAAGAGTGGCCCAAAAAGAAAAGAAAGCTATGTACTAAAGGGAAATTATTCCTATTGGGTTCTCAAGGCCCAAAATAAGACTATCATTTTTCATTCCCTATAGTTCTAATTTCTACTTAGGACGAGGTAGCACCAAAACAAATGTGAATATTTAAAAGAAAAGTGGTACTATTTTTCCAAAGTCCTGTACATTTTTAAACATCCTAGGGACCAGTACTTTTAGAGCTGGTTGGAAATGAATTAAGAACTAAAGCTTAGTTTAAGAAGGCAGATTTTGTAAAATACCTGAATCGGAGATTTCCAATTTTAGTACCAAAACTGAGATATCCGTCTTCCATTGCTTTGAGCTTATCAATAATTCATTGCCAAAAACAATTGTTAGCCAAAACTAGTTAAGTTCCCCCTGAATTACATTCCCCCTGAATGTATGCGCTTCAGAAAAAGTAATTAAGACAAAATTATACTTGAGAAATGTTTAAACAAGAAGGTGTTTTCATCAAAACAAATTAGTGTTTTCACATACTTTCCCCCTATTTTGATGTAAAGAACCTTCAGTTTCTCTTGCGCTTTGAAGATCCGACAGCTTCACTGATGCCCTTCATGTTCCCACACAGTTCTTTGATGCGTCTTAAATTTTCACGTCTTTCTTCCGATTGAGCATCATTTGAGAAGTGGTCAACAACTGTACCTATAACTTCAGTTCCATCCAGTCCTGAGCTGGATAGAAGTTGTGCTGAGTTTTCCAGATTTCTTTGCTGTGCTTCAAGGATTAGATTTGTCAAGTTCAGATGAGAAGGAATATAAGATACTTCTCCTTCTTTGATTGCAATAGGGAGCTGTGGTATTGGAGATGGACTGTGTTGTTGGAGAATTACTTCCATCTTGCGGTTTCCAGAGTTTGCACCAATAAGTCTGAACAGCTTGAATGCTTCCTTTTGATTGTCAATGATCACCTTCAAGTAGTCTTTGGTCACTACCTGATTTGCAGAAGCTACTGCTAGGGCAGATCTGATGTCCATTTGGAGAAGGGACATCTGTTTTTGGAGACTAACTGTGACACTCGCTATTTGTTCTTTGACTTTGTTGATCTCTTTGAGATGAAGTTGACTGTCAGAGGCATATATTTCCATCGTGTTGCTCACAGTTTCACTCAATAGAGAGATAATCTCCAGAGTCTTCTGCACTGATTTGCTTATTTCATTGAGATCTGCGCTGTGTTTTCCTTCAGACTTCTCTATTAGCTGGGTGTGCCTGACTTCCACTTGTTCTATCTCTTGCCTAAAGGAGGCATGTTGAGATGCTAGGGCTGATTCAATCAGCCCTTGGACCTTCTTTGTCCAGATTTCCGGTATCTCATCCGGAAGAGCAGGGGTGGAAGAGCTATGGAAATGAAAGTTGGTTACCTGATGAGATGATGGTGTTCTTTGGAAGAGTTGCATAGGAAGAGATTCAGCATCTTCTTGGACATCTTCTTCATCAGTAACCTTCAGTGTTCTTTCAGATTCTCCTTCTGTTTCAAGCGCAAAATCTGATATATCCCTAGAGAGGGAGTCTCTTTCTTCAGCTGTATTCTCTTCTTCAGAGATGGCTACTTGAGTTTCAGAGACCTCTAGTTCTGCCATTTGAGCTTCCTTTGCAGCTTCTCCAGAATCCCTCTGTGCTTCAACAGCTTGCTCCATTGTTTCTGGAAGAGCTGACTGTTCCGGAATTTCAGCTAACTTTTTCGGGATCTCAATTTCAGTAGGATTGGAGATCTCAAAAGGAGTGGTGAGAATCTCCAAAACTTGAGATTGGATTAGTGGCTGAAATTCTTCTTCTTCTGCTGCTGTTTCCTGGTTCTGTTCTTGTGGGGGAGAGGTTGCCTTCTCTTGAACAACTTCAGTCAGAACCATTTCAGAAGCATGTGAAGTTTCCTGAAATGTGGGTAAGGTTTCCGTTTCGAGGGCATGTGAGGTTTCCGGAAATGTTTGGAAATCCTCAGCTGTTGCTTCAGAAGTGAGAGCCACTTGATCTTCTGTAGCTTTTGAGAAGACTGGCTTGAAGACTGCAGTGTCTTCTCATCTGCTTCACAGTCTGAAACTGGTGTATTGGCCAGGTATTCCAGATGCAAGTCTTCAGGGTTCCTTTGCCATACCCAGTAGTCATCCAAAATCTGTTCAGAGTTGTGGTTGACTAGTATTCTTAAGCACTTCTTGATGATTTTCTCATTCTTCAGCTGTTGGTCCCAATTCAACAGTTGCTCTGCTGAATTCCCAACTTTCCAGGCTTTCCAATCATAGTATAGCTGCCAGAATTGGTTATCTGCATCATCTGTTTGAGGCTGAGATGAGGTTGGAAGGCTTTGGACTTGAGGAATTTCTTCTTCAAATTGTTGAGGGCATCGGTTTTGAGCAGATGTTTCCTCAGCAGGTTCCTTCTCCTTCAACTCATCCGGATTGACATTTCCAGATGTTGATGGGGAGTTGATCTTCCTTTTCTTCTTCCTTTGAAGTTCTCCTTGGTCAGAGGATTCTTCTTCTTCTTCAAGATTTATTGGAGCAGGATTCTGTGGTGCTTCAATGGAGGGAGACACCACTTTCTTCCTTTTGGTAGTCTTCGTCATATGGATGAGTGGGACGTTATCTGAAGAGCTTTCTTCTGCAGTGGCACTAGTACCAGCTCTATTTTCCCCTTTTGAAGACAGATAATATAACCAGTATCTTTCTTCATACTTCTTTCTTTTAGATGCAATACCCATAGATCCCAAAATATGTCCAAGGTATAGTCCTTGACAGAGATATTTCTGGTTGGGCTTTCCCAAATGCTTTGAGATGGAATTGAAAAAGTGTGCAGCCCAGTTTACCTTAGTTTTGGTAATGAGAGAGTTGATGATGAAGGCTCTCTCTTGGGTGATGTCATTGGCATGACCTCCACTTCCACACTCGAGGCAAGCGATGACCAGTTCCAAAACCAACTTGTAATCGTTGTTTAGGTCTGCTTTCTTCGCTGGGCCAGAAAGAGCTTGCCCAGAGATTCCAATGATGTTCCAGTCCAGATTTTTGACGGGAAATTTCCCAACTTCAACTCCAGAATTGGGAAGGCGAAGCTTTTCTCCCAATTTCTTTTGCGAAAGCTTCACTCTTGTACCTTCAACAGTGGACTTGATGACTGGAAATGTCCTCTGTGGGTTTTTCTTTGAATGGGCAGTTTTGATTTCTCCATTTCTGTAGAATTCAAGAACTTCTTCCTCAAATTTGAGGCGAATCTCCATTTGAAGAAATTCGGAGAGTTCTTGAGCGGCTATCATCTGCAGATAGCTTTGAAAGAATGTTGGGGATGAGCACTTGGCTTCTAACTTCTGAAAGTGGACATTTGCACCGACAACCTTCATTTTCTCAGAAATTTGGGTGAAAATTTGAGAAAGAAAGACCTAGGATTCTTGCAAGTTCTTGAGAATTTTTCGCGAAGAAGATGACGACGAATTTTTGAGTGGGCGGTTGAGATCTGAATAGTGGCGATTGGGTTTTAATGTGGGCAATTTATGCGGCTAGTGGCGATTGGATTTTTTAACTGTTCCCAAGGCCACGTCCCCACCCATCATTTTGACAGACGTGGAAAGTGAACTGCCACGTGCACTACATTCAGTCTAATTGAATTAGACCAATTTTGTGAAGCAAATCGGAAAACTTGGCTTCACTTAGTGGTTTGGTGAAGATATCCGCCAGTTGATCTTTAGTTGAGATATACTCAATTTTGATATCTTTCTTTTCTACATGATCTCTGATGAAGTGATGCTTGACATCAATGTGCTTAGTGCGAGAATGATGCACTGGGTTTTGAGAGATGGCTATGGCACTTTGATTGTCACAAAAGATTGTCACTTCCTTTGTCTTGACTCCATAGTCCAGTAGTTGTTGCTTTAGCCACAAAACTTGAGCACAACAACTACCAGCTGCAATGTACTCCGCTTCTGCTGTTGATGTAGAGATGGAGTTTTGTTTCTTACTGAACCAAGAAACAAGATTTCCACCAATGAATTGACAAGTACCAGATGTACTTTTCCGGTCAACTTTGCATCCGGCAAAGTCAGAATCTGAGTATCCCACTAGCTCAAATGAATTGCTCTTAGCATACCACAAACCCATGTTCTGAGTTCCTTTGAGGTATCTAAGAATCCTTTTAGCTGCTATCAGATGGCTTTCCTTTGGCTTTGACTGGAATCTGGCACAAAGACCTACTGCATATGAGATATTCGGACGGCTTGCAGTAAGGTAAAGTAGAGATCCGACAATCCCTCTGTAGAGAGTTTGATCTACATCCTTTCCATCTACATCCATATCAAGTTTGGTGGATGTGCTCATGGGGACAGAAACGGATGACTTCTGATCAACTTTGAACTTCTTGATAAGATTCCTTGTATACTTCGCTTGGTTGATGAGAGTTCCTTCGCTTCTCTGTTTGATTTGAAGACCAAGGAAGTAGTTGAGTTCTCCCATCATGCTCATCTCAAATTTTCCTTGCATGAGGGTTGAGAACTTAGTGCATAGATCTTCCTTAGTTGAGCCAAATATGATGTCGTCCACATAGATTTGGACCAATAAGAGATCTTTACCATCTTGTAGTTTGAACAATGTCTTGTCAATGATTCCTTTGGTAAATCCATTGTCTATAAGAAAGTGAGACAATGTATCATACCAAGCTCTTGGTGCTTGTTTGAGTCCATACAGCGCCTTTTTGAGTCTATACACTTGATCTCCCTTAGTATGTAACTCAAATCCTGGAGGTTGTTCTACATACACTTCTTCCTCTAGGTTTCCGTTGAGAAATGCGCTTTTGACGTCCATTTGATAGACTTTGAAGTCCTTATGAGTAGCAAAGGCTAGAAACAGCCTTATAGCTTCAAGTCTAGCAACTGGAGCGAAGGTTTCATCAAAATCTATACCTTCTTCTTGACAATATCCTTTTGCAACTAACCGGGCCTTGTTTCT